CTGATCATATTTTTTTTCCAAGTACATTTTACAATTCCAAACCAGATCAATGTTAATAACTACTATTAATTTTGTATTTAATCATTTATATGTGATATATAATTAAGGAATACTGGAAATGAAAAACGTACTTATATTCAGGTGTGCATAATTATTAGGCAGGTTTTCTTTTACAGGTAAAATGGGAAGGAAAAAAACTAGATTTAACTCAGATTGAAAAGTCAAACATTATTAAATGCTCATGAGAAGGATGCAATACTAGAAATTGCTAAATTAAGGCGTGACCATTGGACAGCAAAACGCTCATTATTTCAGCAGGGTCAGACAAAAACAGGCCAAGAAGAAAAGATGCGTTGACTGCAAAAAAAAAAATCAGGAATTAAGAATTAGGTGTGAAACCATCAGGAACCCTTTTAGTCTCCATCGCCACCATTTTCCAGAACGGCAACCTACATCTGCAAGGTGTCAGGTTATTAGAGACTTTGCTATGACATCCTGAAATATGACCCCCACTTAATAAGAATCATAGGCTTTATAGATGGACAGATTGAGATTGACTCTTGAAGGACCAGCACCACATCCTCTCGATTGAACAGGTGCTGGTACCTTAGTTAAAGTCCCCGTTAAATCAAAATGAAAGTTTTTTGGGTGTTAATATTAATATGTTAGTCTTAAGGTTATCTATAAGGCAGTGTGCTCCAAAACAGTGACAAAATTCGGATTTAGAAGATATAAGCATTCAAAGCTTGCACTTCGTCACTTCCGCCAAAACAGATCAACGATTTATTTTTATTTTTTTACTTCAGCTTCTCATCAAATCTTCTGACCAATCAAATGCTCTCTAGAATCCAAAGCGCCGCCCCCTACACTATAAATAGACGCTGAATTTTGCGGCTGATAGGGAAGGATTCAGACAGTGTAAATATGCTTTCGACTGGGGCAAATGAGGTCTGGTTTCACGTTGTGTCATGCAAACCGCGGCAGCGCGCACAGTCTGATCCAGACTTTGGCTCCGGTCCAGAGACGCGATCACACTGAGCAGATCATATGCGCGATATATTAAACACTTTTAAAACTACACAGCCTCAGCATGATTATGATCACTATTTTGTTTTACTAAAAGTTATTGAATCTAGGGGTAATCTATTAGACTGATTAGACTGACGGCCCGAGCAGATATAAACAAAACGCTATTGGCTATTTTAAAAAGGGGCGGGGCTGCTTGACGGCTGTATTTTCATAGGAGGTGGTCTTATCTGAAAAAGGATGCCTTTTGCATGTTTATATTCATAGGTAAAACTTGTCAAAGCTGAGTTTTATAATGTTACTTGTTGTAATAACCGACAACACATTTGCCAAATTTGATTATTGTTTCATTTTCAGAAATCATGAGATTAATTATGATTATTTTATTGAGCCCTAATTTTTAAGAGTAAGAAATAACTAAATCTGTAGTTAATACTGTAGAAAAACCATGGGTTATTTTGTAATGGTTCTACTGCAAATGCTGTGGTAAACCATAGTTTATTTTGCAATTACTATGGTTTTCTACAAAAACCATAGATAAATCATGGTTACTGCAGTAAAACCATGGTTAATTTCATAGTTACTATGGTTTTACTACAAAAACCATGGTTAATTTTATAGTTACTATGGTTTTACTACAAAAACCATTGATAAACCATGGTTTTTGTAGTAAAACCATGGTTCTTTTGTAGTAACTATGTAGTTACTATGGTTTTACTACAGAAACCATAGTTAAACCATGGTTTAGTTACTATGGTTTTACTACAAAAAACATAGTTTAACTATGGTTACTGTAGTAAAACCATGGTTTATTTTGTAGTTACTATGGTTTTACTACAAAAAACATAGTTTAACTATGGTTACTGTAGTAAAACCATGGTTTATTTTGTAGTTACTATGGTTTTACTATAAAAACCATGGTTAAACCATGGTTATTTTGTAGTTACTATGTCGTTACTATGGTTTTGCTACTAAAACCATAGTTAAACCATGGTTTATTATGTAGTTACTATGGTTTTACTACAAAAACCATAGTTTAACGATGGCTACTGTAGTAAAACCATGGTATATTTTGTAGTTACTATGGTTTTACTATAAAAACCATGGTTAAACCATGGTTCATTTTGTAGTTACTATGGTTTTACTACAAAAACCATAGTTAATGGTTCTTCACAGTCAACATGTTGTAGAAATTGTTTTCTGGAAAGTGAGATCAAGTGAGCTAAATTGTCCTGCCTGGTCCAGAACTCATTCCAGACTCATTTTCTATTAGTTGCGTTCAATTATAGTGCAATATAAAGTATTAATTTTGAGTTGTATAAATAGTGTTGTGGTGTTTATTAGGCTAATTAAAAAAAGACCAGTAGATCAGTCCTTTATATCTATTACATCTATTTTAATGCTGGTTTGCATGACTCAAAAAAACAAATAAAATAAAATTATTAGGCTAGTTATTTAACAAAAGCAAAGTTTAGTATACAAAAAGACTGCAATCGTGTTTTTAAAATGAAATAAAAAGGCTGAGTGATACAACATCTTAAAATATAAAAGTGCCATTTTGTCTCACTATCATACATTTTGCACCTATGAATTGGTCGTAGAACTACAAAATGAGTTTCAAATTCGCGATTTAATAAAGATTTAATGTGATTTTAAGAAGTTTATTTATGTGAATGCTGTGTGACTGTGACGTGTTTTAATGGACTGGAGTCGCATTCAAACGCTGGAGCAGAGGGAGCAGTGTTGCCAACTTATGAAGTTTGTTGCTAAATTTAGCAACTTTTCAGACTACCCTAGCAACATTTTCTTCCAAAAGCACCTAGCAACAAATTTAGCTATTTTTTAAATTTATTTGGCAACATTTAGAAATGTTGTATTTAAAATTAATTATTTATATTTTAATATTATATTATGCATTTATATTATTTTATAAACACATCTAAATTAACATATACAAATTTTATTTTTTGCTGAGATTTGATGCAGACACACAATTTTGCATCGTGATTACGAAATGACGTCACCACGCAATGACATCGCAACGTCATTTAGCAACTTTTAGCAACAAATCAAGCTTCCTTTAGCAACTTCCCCTGAAAATTAGTTGGCAACACTGCTCCGACGTCACAAGCCAAAAACTCGTGAACTCGTCACAAGCCAAAAACACACTGCGTTTGCGTGTGGATGAACGGCCAAACCGCGTAGAAAAAGCTGCGGTTTTAAAAATAAAGGTGTTGTATTTTTTGCTGAGATTTGATGCAGACACACAATTTTGCATCGTGATTACGAAATGACGTCACCACGCAATGACATCGCAACGTCATTTAGCAACTTTTAGCAACAAATCAAGCTTCCTTTAGCAACTTCGCCTGAAATTTAAATGGCAAGACTGAGAGGGAGTTGCCATGGAAACGGGGCGCAACACTGTAACTGACAAAACGTAAATCTTCATTTCTCGCTGCTGTTTTCTGCTTTCAGGTGAGTTTAGTCACTAAAATCACACAAATATCACATACATCTGTTCCAGACACTTTCTTACATGTAACTGACATGTTTCTGTTGAATATTTACTTCACAGAAATGTTTTACAGTCGTTGAAAAAGTCCGCTAGCATCTCAACTGTTTTCAGACGAGGTATGGCTAACTTTGAAGCTTGAGCTCTTGTTTATGAAAGTTTGGGCTTTTAATCACATCTTTATGTGTAGATGAGAGGTTTTGAGAGTTTTGTAAAGGTTTTGTTGTCAATGGTTTATTGGAAGTTGTCAAACTTATTTAGCCTAAAATATGTGCTGCATACTGTTAATCGGTGACGTCACTTACACGGAGCACGAATTAAATAAAGCTAACGTTAGTTCAAACGTGTTTTGATCTTTCGTGGTAAACAAATATTGATAAAAATTGTTATGTGGTTTCAGGAGTGATAATATAATCTTTCTACAAAAGAAGAGAAGCTCCAAGATTTCAGAATTTGTGAAGTGAGCTGCTGACAGAAAGCAGGAAACACAGGTGAGCATAGAAGAACATTTAATTCATTCATATGCATTTTTTCACAACATATTTTCTTATATCACCATTCATCTGTTATATTACAGTTCATTATAGGAAGGTTTTGACATCCAAACCTGAGTAACACAAACCTAAATACATGAACGTTAATTCTTTTATTTTAAGAAATTGTTTTTGTGTGTGTGTATGTGTGTGTGTGTGTGTGTGTGTGTGTCTATGCTGATGGCCGTGCAGCAGAGCTGTAGCGGACCTCCTGTCGGACAACATCTCTAAGGCGCTATGAACCATATGACTAGTAAGGAAAAGCTCAAACATACTCTACTGTTCAAAAGTTAGAGGTTGGTATGATTTTTTAATGTTTTTTTTACGTGTTTTTTATGTAAGTCCTCTGCTCACCACTACTGCATTTATTTGATTAAAAATACAGTAAAAACAGAAATATTGTAAAATATTATTATAATTTAAAATACCTCTTTTCTATGTGAATATATTTTAAAATGTAATTTATTCCTGTGATCAAAGCTGAATTTTCAGCATCATTACTCCAGTCTTCAGTGTCACATGATCCTTCTGAAATCATTCCAATATGCTGATTTGCTGCTCAAGAAACATTTCTGATTACTACCTTTGTTGAAAACAGTTTTTGCTGCTTAACATTTTTATCGAAACAATACCATTCAAACATTTGTGGTAAGAAAAGAAAGAATACATTTGTGGTAAAAAAGAGAGTAATTAATTATTTTATTAATCAAGGGTGCATTAAATTTATCAGAAGTAACAGTGAAGACAATTTATATTGTTGGAAAAAATTTATATTTACTAAATTGTTTACTAAATGTAATAAATGTTGTTAATTGTACTTTCTATTCATCAAAGTATCCTGAAAAATTATTTTTATCTGTTTTAATAATAAGAAATGTTCTTGAGCAGCAAATCAGCATATTAAAATGATTTCTGAAGGATCACGTGACACTGAAGACTGGAGTAATGATGCTGAAAATTCAGCTTTGATCACAGGAATAAATTACAATTTACAATATATTAAAATAGACAACAGTTCTTTTAATGTGTAATTATATTTTGCAATATTACTATTTTCTCTGTATTCTTGATAAAATAAATGCAGACTTACACCGTGTCTACACCGGACGCGACAGTTGTCGCGCCGCAACAGCTAAAGTCTGTCTACACTGGACAAAGCGACCGCTGAAAATCACTTGAAATTTGTGTCAATACTTCACAAATAAAACACAGCAGCAGTTTTCTGTCTGGGATTTGTCGTGTTGCGCTGCACCGCGCCACGCCGCATCCAGTGTAGACAGCATCACTGATTATAATGAGTTCTATAGTATTTTGCCGCGCCGCTCGCGTCCGGTGTAGACACGGTGTTAGTGAGCAGAAGAGATTTTTTTTCCAAAAACACTTGTAATGTTTCCAAAATTTTGACAGGTACTGTATAACATTGTTACTATATTGCTTAAATACCATTAAATGGATGGATTTGTGGCCCAAGATCCTGGGATAGATTCAGCCCCCGCAACCCTAAAGAGGATAAGTGGTTTGGAGAGTGAATAGATGGATGGATGAACTTCCAAAATACTTTGACTTGCTTTGATTTTGTTTCTATTCTGACTGCTGTTCAGCTTAAAAATACCTTTCCATTATCGTTGTTTGTCATTTTGCCTCATTATACCTGTGCTAAACCTATAAAAATTAAGAAACTAATGAAAGTGTTTTTTTTTTACAGGATCTATTGTATCCAGCCTCAACCATTCATCAGAAGGACTGTGAAAGCGGGAACTCTTTCACGGGATGAAAAAGGGCATAGTAGTGGATGATGGGG